ACTAGAGGGTATTTTTAGAGACACAAAGCAGCTAGCAGCGCAGCGGCACGGCACTGCAATTTAACTATGACTAATGTTTCTATTAAAAGTCCTGCTTTTCCCTTTTATCCTTCACTCTTACATCTTCAGAGACGTCGCGTTTTGTCAGCGCATAGCTTCCCACACAGCAGCCCTACGACGCAATTACAAAGTGTTTGAACAGCCGAAGGTATTTTTAGAGACACAAAGCAGCTAGCAGCGCAGCGGCACGGCACTGCAATTTAACTATGACTAATGTTTCTATTAAAAGTCCTGCTTTTCCCTTTTATCCTTCACTCTTACATCTTCAGAGACGTCGCGTTTTGTCAGCGCATAGCTTCCCACACAGCAGCCCTACGACGCAATTACAAAGTGTTTGAACAGCCGAAGCGCTGATGAGCTGGTGGCTTTTGCAGAGAGAGAGAAGTTGACATGGTGAGATTTTTGAAAGAGCTGATTTCACCTTCACATGCACCAAAATCCAGCCTACTCCAGGCGAGAGGAGAGGGCAAGGCTCTGTGAGGGATGGGAGGGAAGGGGAAAGCAGGGTTCTGAGTTGTTTGGACTGCATGAGGATTGAAATTCTCTGAAAGCTTATGCAATCTTTCAGGCCCATGCAGCCACTTTAAAACAAAACACCTCTCTCAGAAATAAACCTTGCTGATACAGAAATCCTTGGCTCTGTTGAGAAGTCATAAACCAAAATACCTCCTTGCCCCACCACATCCAGCTTCTTCCACACAGACATCAGCTAGCAAAACCCCCTTGTGCAGGCCTCAAGGCCAAGCTCCACAAAGGTATGCACAGACCCAACCTCCTTCTGTAATCTCTGGGAAATCAGGCACCTAAATAAAACTTGGGAGTGCTTTATTGTGGATCTTGGCTCAAGTCCTTGCTGCCAACGATCCCAAAAATGCCTGACTTTGAACCAAGCCTGAGATATCAAGCAAAGCTATCAGGAGAAGACACTTAAATTCTAATGAAAACATGTTTTCTTTGTATTAATCTTGGTTCTCATTACTTTGCAAACTAGGGAAAATTTTAGGTCAGTAAACAAGTACAGCTGGAAAAAATCCTGAAGAGGAAACAAATACCAAAATCCATAGGAGGTCAGGATTGGAATAGAAAGTGCAATGGCACAGCCATGCTGCACATCTGAGGAGCCTCTGCCTGGTGATCAGCATTCATGGAGGCTCTGCAACATAAATATCACCCCCACCCCACCCCACCCCATTCCACAGAGGCAGACGGAGAGACAAGGAATACTTGCAGCTTGTGGGACTTCTATGATAGAAAGGGGGCACCTGTCTCAGCTCCGACAATTCAGCTCTAGTCTAGCAATGTTCCCTCCATAAAAACATCCACAAGTCAGGGGTATAACAGAAAAGAAGAAAAAAGAAAATAAGATGCCTTCCCCTCCCATTCTTGAACGGAACGGAAGAATAGAATAGAATAGAATAGAATAGAATAGAACAGAACAGAATAGAATAGAACAGAATAGAATGCCTTCTGTCCTAGGAAAAGAAGCAGAGCACCAGGATGTTACGGTACAGTGAAAATCATAGAATCACAGAATCATAGAATGGTTAGGGTTGGAAGGGACCTTAAAGATCATCTAGTTCCAACCCCCCTGCCATGGGCAGGGACACCTTCCACAGACTGTTGCTGGTTATCCCATTGGGTTGTACTGACCAACACCATTTACTACTCCAAGTAAGTCTCAAATCTTGTCTGAGTGAGGAACAGGACAAGGGAAGGTCTGATGAACTGGCAACTCTAAGCCCACACATGCACTACGGAGAACAGGGGCTTGAAAGAAAGGATGCCATCCATTTGGACAGCTGAGATTCATGTTTTGGTTGCCACACAAGCCTGAGGTCACTCATTAGCCCCCTTAAAATCCCCATGGAAAGAAAAACAACCACAGTAGGAGAGAGGAAATTGGATTGTCCAGCCTATTCCAGTTCATTCTGAATTGAAATGGATAAACGCTGCTGGAAGACATTCTCTCCCAGAAGAGACAGGCTCTGAAACCATGCAGGTGCCAACGAATATAGAGGGGAAAGGTAGGACACTGGTGTAAGGGTGAAAGTCTGAATTTAAAAAGCAATCCAGCAAATACTAGTGTTACACTGCAAATAATCCACAACCTCCAGTCATTTGCATGACGAAAATACACTAAATAAAAACTCTGCAATAACAGCTGATCACAGACAGATCTGTCTTCTTAACATATATTGTGGACATAGAAAATTGCTTAGATAATTGCTGTTGTGTTGTGAGATGAAAAAACCCATGAGGTCTTTAAGTTCTGATTTTTCAATTTGTAGTAAAAGCCTTGGAGTCATTTTGAAGTACAGTGAGATGCTTCTGGAGTAAAAGACAACATCTCCAGGCAACTTGATGTTGCAAGTCCATTTATGTAACTTATTTCACAGTGATTTATTAGTCTACTAAAAAAGTAGTTTTCAGAGGTATTTTTTCCCTTGTTTGAGAAAAAAGACAGCCACTTTCAGAGCATCCAGAACAGTTTTGGGAGGCAAAGAAACAGGTGAGCAAGCTGCACCTATGTAAAGCTACAGAAAAACTTATTTTCTCATAAAGGATAACTTGAAATTTCTCTCATACATGCCCCCCAGAAACAAGCAAGATGATGAATTCCACACAGCAGTGTAGATACCAGAAGTTAAGGATTTTAAGAAGAAACACAAACTTGATAAGTTAGTAGCAAACCAGATGTCTGTCAGTGGAGTGTTTGCAAAGGGACCCTGGTTCCCATGACCTTAGACTCTATTGGGAAGGAACACCATCTCGCGGTGGCCAAGTCTTCATGGAGCATCAAAGCGAAGAGCTGGAACTCTCTTGTTTATTACAGCTGAAGAAACTTGGAAAGCCAAGCTGGCTGCATTGGCAGTTCCAGGATCAACTTCTAGTCCGTGGAGAATTTTATAGTGGAAGATAATAATGACAGCAAAAGAAAATAAAACATGATCAAGCTGTCCAGAAAGAGCCTGCTGGCCACTGTCAAAGCCAGAGATGGAGAGGCCAAAAGAGGGAAGGAAAATCTCACATGAAAGCTGGGAAGAGGAAGAAAAAAA